ATGCCGCAGAGGCCTTCAGCCGAAACGGCCCCTCCCTCTCTGGGTTCAAACCCCGGAGATCCAACCAACCAAATTCCTTTGGACAACTTGCCTGACGGGATGACCTCCCATCAGCAGCAACAGATCCCAGTTGTACTGGTCAAGGCTCCCGTGTCTCATTATAAACAGCGATTATTTCATTAAACAGCGTTAAACATTTGATCTTTGTAATGGTGAAGAGTTGTGTTTTCTTCGCGGTACGGACTCGCTGGTTAAAAATTATGTACGTAGAGCGTGTCTCATTATAAACAGCGATTATTTCATTAAACAGCGTTAAACATTTGATCTTTGTAATGGTGAAGAGTTGTGTTTTCTTCGCGGTACGGACTCTCTGTTTAAAAATTATGTACGTAGCGCGTGTCTCATTATAAACAGCGATTATTTCATTAAACAGCATTAAACACTTGATCTTTGCAATGGTGAAGAGTTGTGTTTTCTTCGCGGTACGGACTGAATTCTTAAATATTATTAGGTTTTCTTTATTCCATATTGTGAGCGAAGACCATTTTATCGGACGCTACATATCCAGAAGGCATCCATATTCCATATTTTAACTCCTAAAAGTTCAGAAAATCTTAAAATAAATTGCAGTTTTTAAGTTTTTAACCCTCATTTTTCGAATCAGTTTTCCCCCATTTCCAGAGTTTTTTTTTATTCCCGTATATATCAACATTGTCTTCAACATTTATTGGTTAAAAGTGTGCAGTGTAAACAGTAACATGTTTCGGAGTCTGTGTATCACCATTCGACAATCGATTATGTACATAAATGTTAAAAATCGAGTTCATTCACCAACTCAAGCAATCAAGAAATATAACATTTTTCTTTTTACAAAAATTGTTGTTTACAGCGTGAAAGTGAGGTTATGTTATATAATCATACAGGAAAGACTTTGAAATCGTATTTGGTTAATTTATGACACACGAGATAGAATCTCTGCTAGTTCCACCCACCTTCCATCCTCACAGTGTCTCTCCCTAATATCAATTTTAATATTATCCTCATAGAATTTTCCAAGAGATTTTTTTATCAAAATTTTATGTGCAGTTCTTGTCTCCCCCATCCTATCTACATGTCAAACAAATAATTACATTCTAGAGTCTATTGCTGTAACAGCAAGTACTGTGTGACGTGTTAATCACAGAATTCTTCGTTAGATAATTTTCTAAGTTAATTGGTTATTTTATGATTTTTAGATTCAGATTTTTTTTAGACTCTCGTGATTTGTGTTCTCTTCTACAGAGAGAATTTTTTTACATCAACAGCAAATTCACATTAATTATTTTTAAATAAATTTTCTTTTAAATTACGAGTACAATTTTAATTTTGGAACTATACGATCTGTAATGCATTTGTACATACTTTGTCATGTACTTCAGGTCATGTACCTCCAAGTAAGGGTGTAACGAACATGGGGAATGGAGTGAAGGGAATCATCAAATTATTCAACCAGATGTCCACCAATGTTCAGGGAAAAGAGTTGCAAGAAATGAAGGGAGTTGAAACTCGCCCAGATGCAGTGATGAAAAAGCTTAGATTTGAGGTTAGATTTTCATATATACTTCTTCACAAAGGGAAGGGTCCTTCTTGAAAAGATGATACACGCTCAGCTGACAAAATACTCAAAGACACATTACTGTGTTCATGAGAGCATGCCACTGGACCTTATTTTCTGTGCCAGATAAATCCAATCCACATCCTCACACTATGTTTATTTAAGAGCCATTTTAATATTATTATTGCACTGTTGTTGAGTTTGTCACATTTCTTGCATCCACACTATCAGTATTATGCTTTTTTGCATGATGTGATTATGTCCATTTCAATTGAAGAACTGCTCGATGTATTTTTATGAAATTTGGTATGAAAATTAGTCCATTTCAGCTGGAAATTGTCCAAAATTTCCTATTGTGTGGAAGCACGTCAAATTCTGGCCAGGGCCCACAACACTAACTCATGAATTGCGTTACACTGGAGACAGTGCATAAGAGCACTAGGAATATTTTGACGTAAATACGTCTATATTTTAGAGTCAGTGTCATTCGGCAAAAAGTGAAACGAAAAAGTATAACTGCATTGTTATGTTACCTAAGAAACATCTGTTTACTCGGCATTGTTGTTACCTAGGAAACATCTGTTTACTCGGCATTGTTGTTACCTAGGAAACATCTGTTTACTCGGCATTGTTGTTACCTAGGAAACATCTGTTTACTCGGCATTGTTGTTACCTAGGAAACATCTGTTTACTCGGCATTGTTGTTACCTAGGAAACATCTGTTTACTCGGCATTGTTGTTACCTAGGAAACATCTGTTTACTCGTCATTGTTTGTTACCTATTACTCGGCATTGTTCATTACTTTACATTACATTCAGCTACCACAGACCCATCTTAAGCGTAACCTATTCAAGTTAAATAAGCAAAGTCTTAACCAAACTTTACTCAATTGTAAAGCATGTATAAAGGAAATATTTAGAATAAAGCCAATATATAAATTTCCTTTCATTGTATTTATTGCCTAAATATAATTTAAATACAAAGACGACGTCAGATTCGTGGTTCCACTGTCAATTTTTTAATTTGTATCTGATCCTTGTGTTAGATTCAGCCACATTTCTAATGAATTTTATTACTACAGTTTTTGTTCTTTGTTAGTGTCCATATTTCTGAGCTGAACTTTAATTTTTGGATGGTCATAATTTTAGGATAGCGTCTCACATATTTAATTAAATTTGTTGAATTTTATCTGCATATATTTTTAAATTATATTACCTAGTTTATGTATTTCTCTCAGAAAGCTTTCTTCATTATTTGCATACCCCCATTAAAACCTTTTGTTTACCACTGGTGGTATGTATACCACACTTTGAGAAACACTACTCTAAATATTTTAATAAATTCCTGTAACAATTTTGCATGGTCCAGTAACCAGAGCTTGGCCCAAACTCATTTTCATTTCTTCAAAACATTATATTCCTCAGATATTGCAATTGCAAGGATTGTCAAATGTACTAAAAGTTAGGTTCGGTCAAATCAAGAACGTTTGTGTGTGATTTCGGTTTTTAACTACGCAACATGAATGTTTAAAATAAGAATATGTGAGATACGAGTTTTTCAATTTGGCTAAAATGTGGATTATGGTGTCTTTTGGTCTATGGGGACATATATTCTTATATGTGGTTACATATATGCCATAGAAATATATTACCACCATCTTCTACATAGAGATTTAATGTTGGTAATCGCAAGACGATTGTCTAGA